AAGAGAATTTTTATTTATTTTTACTTGTTTGATTGCTTCTTCCACTCTTATGCATTTTGATTCACTTAAATAATTAAAGTAGACTAATTTAAATAATTAAATTGAATCTGTTATAAATCCAGTAGCCCCCTGGCCTGGCCCATCCTTCTTCTCTCTCCCTGCAGGGAGCTGACACTCCCTGTGATAGGGAGGCATATATTAAATGGCTGTGGGTTGAGGCCTGATTTCCTGCTTTTGCAGGCCTTGGTTGCATCCTCTCAGCTTTCTTGCCGTTTAAGGGATGAAATGTTTACCACTTGCCTTGTCACTGACAACAAATATTTTCTGGTCCTCTAGCTCCTTAAATAAAGCAACCTTGCCTGCCTGTTTATCTGCTGAAACACTCTGGAATCAAGAAATATCATGAGCTGTTTCTGCAATAAAACCATAAGCCAGCAGCTTTGTAGGCCAGCAATCGTCAAACCTTGGCCCAAATAAAATGTCCACAAAAGCAACCCTTTCAGGTTCAAGACCCCTTCATCTGACCCCAACTGCCAGCTCCATTATTTCATAAAATATGCAACATTTGCTGCCTTAGAGTGAACACTTGGACTCTAGTGAGTGATCAGTTTTCTTCTGGGGTCCTCCTTCACAGAGGACTAGCTTCTGAAACTGTTTTAGGTCATGCCTTTTTGAACTTCTGGTCCTCTGCCACCTCTTTCATCTCCCATCACGTCTGCAAATCCCTCTGCCCTCCCTATGCGGGCACAAAGAGAAGGGCATGGAATTCTTCTGCAAGCACCTGGCCCCTTCCACACTCTAGCGACCCCCCTCACCCAGCCATCCAGGAGCTGAGCCAAGCACATGCATAAGGGAACCCTCCCTGCTGCAGAGCCATCTCCAGCAGCTGGGCTGAGAAGTCCACTGTCCAAGACCACTTGACCCACTGTCCCTCTGGTGTCACAGCTATCAGGAGGTCTCACAGTTACCACATACTATAAAGGCTCTGCAAGGCAAGCTATCTCCAAAACATACGCTGGCTCACAGCTTAGAGGCTCCTACGGATTTCAAGAGAGAAAGTGCAAAAGCATTTCTTCTGCCACAATGCTCACTCTAAAACCTGGTGCTTTTTCCTCCCTTGTGCAGCTCCCCTGCTGAACATGTGCAGGACAGAATATTTAATATACATAGCTCGGGGAAAGCTGTCTGGTTTTCAGACAGCCCCTTTGATTTACAACCCTGTGGTTAAATCAGTGCAGAATTTTGGAGAAAGACCAATTCCATTTGCTTACAAGTCTGATCCTGAGGCACTGGTGTTTCTAACGACCCTGGCAATCATTTGCTTTTAATAATCATTTGATTCCATCACTGAAAGAATGAACCTGGCTGCCACCCCTCCGACTGCCCGGTTCTGAGGAATCTAGGCAGAGGGTAATGGCTGCCCTGATGCTAAACTCGACTCAGGCAAATGATCTTCTTTCAGGGTTATTTTAAGCTATCTCCACTTTTTTTTTTTTTTGTAATTAAGAGTAGCCAGTTCCATCCTGAAAGAACTCTCCCAGCACACCTGAAACTCTTCAAACATAACTTATTTGCCAAAGGACTATAAACCTCACAGCAAAGCTGCATAAAACTTAAAAAAACAAGTTGACTTAAAGTTTCTATTTTTATACGGTATCCTGTTTCTAGAGGGGCTGAGACTCGTGGTTTCAAACTCAATTTAACATTTAGATTAATTTTCGGCCAGGTCTCTATGGACCAGCAATTAGGGAAGGCGAAGAGTTCAAAGGAGGAGGTTCCAGCCTCCCCCGAGCAGCCTGTGCTGTCTTTGGAGACGCTCTCCCAGCCCTTTTCCTGTCCTGGCCGGGCGGCCACGGCCAGCTCAGACAACCTGTTCCTGCAGGGCCCTCGTGGGCAACACAGCAACCCGGCTCTGCAGTGCCCAGTGTCTGAGAAGACACCAATGGCCAAGTGCATTTATTTCCTCTCTTAGCTGTCCTGGGGAAGGATCTAAAAACTTCCTAAAGACTCCACTGCACACTGCAGGCCAAGAGGTACAAGGCGAGGGACAACACGAGAAGAATGGGCCCTTTCAGCTCCCAGAGCCATGCGGCCTTTGACTGACCCCCCAACCATCCCGCTAGGCAGCAGGACAGGCTCTGGAAGCCTGGGTCCTCCTCCCAGCTGGGCTGCCACCTCTATCTGTGGCCACAGCATCCCTCTGAGCCTCAGAGTCCTAGCTGGGTTTTTTTTGTTGTTTTTTAAATTAAATTTTGTGTGGTAACTGTGTTTAAGTAATGTAAGATCACAGCACAAAATGCAAAAGATATAAAAAGTGAAAAGTCCATACAGTTCCCTTAGAAGCAAACAGGAAGAACCTTCCAGAAATATTCCTTTGCAAGCTCATCTTCTCCTTCTTCTTTCATTAATAGTTTTATACAAGGGGGAGAGGGGGCATGGACAATATATATAACCTTAACACTGTACGCCCATAATATGCTGAAATAAAAATAATTAAAAAAATAAATAAAAATAGTTTTATGCAAACGGCACCATATTATTCATGCTATTCTGTACTTTCCTTTATTTTTCCCCCCACTTAACAGTATGTCCTGGATAATATCCAAGGTCCTAAGGTTCTTTCCACCCTTAGAAGTTCTAGAATCAGGGAATCAGGTCTGGACTTTAAAGAATCTACTTCTTCAGAATATGGGCAAATGTTCCCACAACTATCTTAGCAGAGGAGGGAGGAAAAAATGGGCGGAAAACGTTATATGGTAGGTACCATCAAACACTGTCATTCCTGTACTCTGCTAGCCATCGGCCCAGAAGGGCTACTTACTCCAGGCTGCCAGAGACAGGAGCTTTGGGGAGGGCCCCTTTCCAGATGCTGTACAGCATTCTACACATTAACCCCATTGATTTTTATATTTTTACCATTTTGTAGAAAAAAATAAAATGAAGGCTACAATAGGTCAGATAACTACCACTGCCACATGGCTGATGACAGCAAAAGTATTGAATTTCAGGATTCGCTACCATTTCCAAAGCTCATATTCTTACCAATTTACCTAGACAATGTTAAAAAAAATCTAAGGTCAGCTTTATAACTGCCATCCTTAATTCCCATGCCAGTATTTAATATAACTTTCACTTTCAAGACATTTTCCCTCCAGGAGCCATGGGCAGGCTCTGTTTAGACAGAGGGACACTAACCAGAATGAAAAGTCTCTCCTCCTGGAGAGGGTGAGAGAGAGGGAATCACCGAGTGAGCACTGGGAATGTCACTTTGACCTATCAGAATGCCACAGGAAGTTGAGAGGAGAGAGACAGAGGTAAGAATAGAAAGGTGTTTATGGCTAATCCCTTTCCCCTCAGTACTAAAAAGAGCTTAAGAGATCAAAGAGCCCACGCAGGTGCATGAGGGTGCGGAAATGGAACCAGAACCCGGGTGAGCGCCAAGGACCAGCCCAAGGTCAGGTATGGAGCCAACAGCCGGCCCTGCCTCTGCCCTGGCATATTCCCTGGCTGCACCTGCTCCTCGCTCAGCCCTGACTCCCCTCTCCCACTTTTTGGGGTTTCGTTGCTCATTAGTGTCTCTGTTGGAGAGGGAGCAGGGGACGAGAAAGGTGTTACTATTTAGCAGATCTTCACAAAAGCTCAGGTGGGGCACTCTTGGCTAAGGTGGTCTCTGGATTATCTCTGGGCTGGATTTATTCACGACATCTGTACGTGTCTCTTATCACTGAGATCATCTGAAAGCCAGCTAGACCTTGCTCAGGGAAGGCCAAATGTATGTGTGAAAATCCCCTTCCCAGCTCAAACCTGAGATTCCAAAGAAGCGCTATGCAGCTCCAGTGCTCAGCGCTGCCTCTGGATAATGTGACCAACTGGAAAGGTCCCAAAAGGTCAGCGGAAGCACAGGTTTCCCACCCACTCTCCCAAGAGACCCACTGACGCCTGGCCCAGGTGTCACCCGGAGGGAATAGATTCTCCTCTGGATGCCTTTGTTGGAGATTCAACTTGCTGAAGAGGCAGAGCTGTGGGCCTCTTTCCCTGTCGACTGTTCTAGAAGAGCCTCTGGGACCCCAACAGCAGCCACAGTGGAGCGGAGTTAGGGGCTGCCCCTCCCTCCCTGCCTGACTCACCTTCACCTCTTCAGTGCGTCTGAAACTTTGAAGGCAGGACAAAATGAGCCTGGCTCCCATTCTGTGTCGGCACAAGGACAAGGCCCAGTGGCACCCTCAGTCCCCAGAACCAGACGCCTGTGCAGCCTCAGGGCAGTGAGTGTGGGTCTGAGGGCGCGGTCCCGCGGGCTTGCGTGCACAGGGAGCGCGTGAGAGTTGGCGGGACTGCACTCAGAGACCGCACACCCGACCAGGGCAGCCAGAGGCGGCAGCGCCCAGCTTCCGCAGCAGGTATCTCATCATTACAGCAAGGGCTGCTGTCATCACGCGAGCTCACAACGGCGTGGGCAGAGAAAGACAACGGTGAGCCGTCTCTGGCAGAGGAAGCGCCCTGTGGTATCTCCACCAGTCATGAGTAACGTCAGAGGGGAAAACAAAGACACCTCCAAACAAACAGGCAGGCGGGCTCGGCAGTTAGAGCCTCTGTGCTAGAGAACGTCCCCAAGGCCGGCCAGGACAGCCGGGGACCCTCCAGAGCTGCCCAGCCACCCACGGCACATGGCCGCCCTGCTCGCACCGACCGGGAGCCCCCACGGCGACTTCACAGGCTTCCGCGGTGGGGACAACCGGGTTACACGCGGACATACATTCTGAGCTTGTGGGAAGGAATGCCTTGTGAATTCCAAATTACTGGAATATCATTCAAAAGCAGAACATTGTCAGGTGTAATTGTTTCCTGCCCTCCTCAGTCCCCCATCACAGTGACTTTACATTTCTCACAGTAAAATGGAAAGAATGTGGGTCTGGAGGAAAGAGTTTGGGCTTACAGGCAGGCGCCAGGCCTCGCCGTCAACCCGCTCGGGCCTCGCTGCCACCCCTCCCCTCGGGCCTGGCCGCCACCCCCCCTCGGGCCTGGCCGCCACCCCCCCCTCGGGCCTCGCCTCCATCTCCCCTCAGGACTCGCCGCCATCTCCTCTCAGACCAGCGCCTCCGCCCCTGGCGCTGGGAAGACTGAGGGTGGCGACCCAGGTGAGGATCTCAGTGGAGTCTAACCCGGGAGAATCCCACTGCCCCCTCCCCTCTCTGTCCCGCTGCCGCCTGCGGTCCCTGCAGTTGTTCCTTATCTTTTCCGAGTGTGGTTGTAGTATCTCCACATTTCCTTCCTGCTTTCCCCTTGGAATCACAGAGCGGGTTCCTAGGATGTGAGAACTGAAGGAGCCTTAGGCGTAGGAGAACCAGGGACCCACATCCCAAAGCGGGTTGGTGGCAGACCCAGGTCTCCTGTGGCTAGTGCCCCCAACTAGCCTTCCATAGCTCCTCCACTCACAGCAGCCCCCCTCGGCCTGCCCCTGTGAGACACGGAATTCTCTCTTTCCCAGGTCCCCTTCCCTTTGTGACATCCATTTTACTTAAAAAGAGAAGGCAGGGTCTGAGGGCGGTGGCAGAAACCAGTACCTTGGCATTTTGCAGCGGGGGCTGGTAACTGGATGGCCGGTAGAACATCCTCTGGGTGGCGTCCGTGTGAATGTCGCCAAGGAAGAGCTCCTCGACAAGGTGGTCCAGGTTGTGGTGCAGGTACTGCTTCTCCACCCGGATGAGCTGCAGCTCATGCATGGCAAAGCTCACGGCCTTGGTGCACTCGCAGCCATTCTCTTCCCGCCACAGGTCATAAGCCACGTCCTGCACCCAGGGGCCGCCGGCCTCGAGGAAGCCCGGGCAGGTGCGGTTCACCAGCTGGCTGAGCTTCTCGGCTACCGCCTCCGTGTGGCAGATAACCTGTACGTTGTGCAGCTGGTAGTCGGCTTCGGTGCCCCCTCGGATGATCCAGGAGGCCTGGCGGAGGCGGATCTTGCCCCGGGTGATGAGCGTGTAGGTGGGGTTTGTGCACCGGTTGCTGCCATAATAAAATTGGTAGGCCTTGAAGGTGTTATTGTGGTAGAATCTGTAAGACCTTGTGATAAACTCTGGGCCTGACCTTACTTCACAGCTGAAGAAGAAAAGGGGAAAGAGAGACCTTTATAAGCCGAAGACCTGAGGGAGAGATTTATTACAGTGTTAAGAAATTATAGAAATAATAACTATGGGTCAGACATTGTTGTAGGCCCTTATAGATACCAAGCCCCTGAATCCTCACAACTTAGGAGGGAGGTGGTATTATCACCCACACTTTACAGATGTGGAAACAGAGGCACAAGGCCAAGGAACATGCCCAAGGTCATATAACCTGCAAGTATCAGAGCCAGACCAAGAATCCAGGTTGTCCAGCTGGGCTGATGAGCTCCTACTCACTCTACTCTGGAAAGTCTTCCATTCCTTTGATGGACAGGCCAGGAAAGCAGACACCTGCTGTCCTCACCTCCACCTGTGGGCCTAGTGTAAACAGAAATTTCTTTCTTTCTGCATAGGGAAGAGGAGTGTAGTGCTGGCCTATAAAAGAAGTTCCCTTATGCTAATTCAAAAACAGCTCACTTCCTGAACACCTTTATGGGCCCTGTCTAGGTGCAGAATGTATGTCATCCTGCAATGGAATCCAGTCACGTAGTGGCACATGGACACTTGCCCTCTTATCAATTCAAAATTAATCTTCCCTCTAGCAGAAAAATAAAGGGGTAATTAAGTGAAAGCAAAGCTAACCCAATAGCAGAAATAAGGGTTTCTTTTGTTTGAGCTGGTTGACAGTGTGGCTTTAGATCAATGTTAGATTCTTAAGTCAGAAGCACTTAGACTGGATTGACAGAGCACAGCAGGAGTGGGTTTTAATTCAGGGGTGTTCTCACACCACTCTGATTGTCATCAATTCATACATAACCAGCAGAATCCGTACAGGGGAAGGGAGGAGGAGTTCTCCAAGCACTGTTCAAAGAATCTGCCCATAAACTTTTGTTAGATCTTAGTCACAGATACATTCATGACTTTTAGCTCATCAATTTGGGCTTTCTAACTGTGCTCATGTCTACAGTTTTGACACAGATTCCGGTTTGAGCTGACATTGTATTACCAAATTAAGCAGTAAGGCTAAAATTCCAAACATAATAGGGTCTCAAAATGGCTAACACTTTAATTTTTAGCCAACAGGTTGGTGAAAGACATATACTACTTAGAAACAGGTACCTGTTGCTATGTAAAGTTTGATAAGTGATGTCAAATATTAGTAACATCCTATGGATGAAAAGCACTCAGCAGTACTTGGAGCATCCTTAGTCTGAGAAAAAGGAGAGAAAACACTCCAGATTTCTCCCTGAAGGCAAGAGAAGTTTGGCGTAAGCAGTGATTCGTGTCAGCTGAGGTTTAGAAAAGAAGATCCCATATTTTTAATTTTTTTATCTAAATATCAACAACCTGTTTCTTCTGCCTCCCACGTACAGTGGATCCCAGGTCTGGCCACTTCTCAATCACCTCTGTATTCCTCCTCCCTAAGCCTCTTGGGCTAGAACAGTTGCAACAGTCTTTTAACTGATTATCCCCAAATCACTTTTTCTCCCATCCATTTGCCACGGAACAGCCAGAATGCCCTTTCCTACAGTTGGACCACGTTTTAAGTGGGGCCCCTGCTAGAGACCCTTCCATGAATTCTCAGTCCTCTTCAGTTAGAAGGAGACCTGGTCTGCAAAGAGCACCTCACCTCCTCTGGTAGTTCTCCCTGCTTTACTGAACCCTGGCCCCAGGGCTCTCTAGCACCCCTCCTCCAGTCTAGCCAGCCTCTGGGCATCTAGCCCTGCCTCTGCTCCTTCTGCTAGATACAAAGCTCTTCCTGCAGCCTTTGCACAGACAACCATGTCTCAGCTCAAGGGTCCTCTTCTTTAGATGACTTTCTGGACCCCACCCTGATCCTAAAATAGGGTCCCCTGGCATTCTCCTTTAGCATCTGTTGCCCACCACCCCCCTTCACAGCGCTATGTGTGTTTACTTGTAAAATCCCTGAAGCTAAGGATCATGTCTGTTTTGTCCATTGCTATACACACACACACACACACACACACACACACACACACACACAAAATGTAGACTAGTGTTTGGCACACAGTAGGCACTCAATAAATATTTGTTGAATAAAATGATAAATAATTTTATAGAACATAATATTAAGATTGTTTATGCAAATTATTTATCATATGGTCATTTTGAGAGACCTAATTTTTTAGAAAAAAAATCTGGTTTTCCATTACATTATAAAATTTCTTTTTTCTCTTCTCCGTATTCATTTGATCCCTCCCCATGGTACCTGGAGGCTGCTATCCATATCCCAGGAATAGTGGATCAGGGAGGAGTGATCAGATCCCAAAACTAGTCTTGTTAATTCTCAACAATTTAATGGGTAGAAAAAAAAAAATCACAGATCTGCCTCTAGGCTATTTTTAAAAGCTCTAATGGAAGATAAGCCAGAGCTCAAACTGGGATAAATCTCAGCTTCACAGCACGGAAAAGAATCCAAGAACTACGCCCTGGCTAGTAGAGGTAGCTTTTAAATTACTCTTAGAACCCTGGAGCTGTATATTAAATTACCAGAATATGGCTAGAATATTTAGCCCATAAGAAGCTTGCAAGTCATGTTTCAGTGTAGGTGAAACGCAGACTCTTAATTTCACTTGCTAATGGTTTCTTTTTATACGCAAGTGGCCCCATAGAGTTCAGTAAACAAGGATCTATTCACTCATACTGTGTGGTTAACAGAGGTACAATATAATCTCTGCCTTAGCATAAGATTTCTACAGTACTTAGCTCTGTTTCTTAACCAACTATAATTTCAAAGAGTGGTTTGGTTCTTAGAACTTGGACAACACCTAAGTCACTGTAGATTATATAAAGTCTCTATGCATCTGGAACCCATAATAAGGGTCTTACATGGAAGTGTGCTCTCTGATCCCTCCCAGACTCCACCTGTCCTTGCTGCTCTTACCCCGTGGAAACCCAGTGGCCCTCGATCGTAGGTGGCATCTGCACAGTGATCCGTGCACCATTGTGGAGATGTTTCAGCATGTGATGGCACTGCGACTCCTTGAAAGCCCTCCAGGCACTTTTCTCTAAGGACCTAGGATGGGATCTGCTGTCCGGATGAAGGAGGGCAGAACCCTCTCCCAGCCCTAAAAAAAAAAAAAAAAAAGCAGAAAGTTAGCCAAGAGAAGAACTAGCAGCAGATGTGAATCAGGCCAAACAACTGCCTCTGCAGCAGGGAGTGGCTGCAGGTGGGAGATATTCGCTTACTCTACCAGGTTTCATCACTGTGCATGCTTTCATAGGGTAGACATTTGAAAGTAGGAACTGTCTTTGGAGATCATTTCCCTGGTGAGAAAACTGAAGTCCTTGGAAATAATGAACATAGTTTGCTCGAGGTCATTTAGTTCCTGGCAAAGCCAGAGCTCAAAGCCATGCATCTATGGAACAGCAAAGGTCATGCATCTAAATGAGTACTTGCGTGGTGTGGGCAAGTGAATGGAACAGGCGTTGTAGCAGAGAGAAATGGACATAGACATGTTCTGGAGTCACCAAAGAGGAAGAGGTGTGGTTGAGGGGGGGGGTTGAGAAAGGGGACATCATGAGGGCGAATGTGCAAAATGACACATTTAGGTGAGGAAAGGAAAGAGCAAGGAGACAGCCTTGGTAAAAATGCATCCCAGGCAGAATGGAAAGAAAAAGGCCAAGGGAATAGCTCAGAAGACTCCAGGCTGGGACCTGCTCCCTGGATTGGCTCCCATAGGCCCACACCAAGTCATGCATCCTCTGGTTCTTAGCCCCCAAACAGATGCCCTCTACGGGGCTGCTCACCAGGGGTGTGAGCCATATACCCTCCTGCAGTGTGGGAGCATGTGACCCTCCCTCCAATTATCTTCTAAGTCCAGCCCTTCACCCCCACAAAGCCAGAAACTGCTAAACATACAATATAAAGTTTTAAATTAAGAATAACTGTAAGATGAATGCATATTTTTATTTCCCAGGGGTAAAGGAACACTAGCACTGAGTTTATCTTCAGTATAATTAGTTTAGGTTGGCCAAAACCTACCAGCCTGATGTTCAGAATAAAGTAATAAAAATGAATGGAGTTATAATATGAAAGCCCACTGTCTCCTATGAGATTTTGAAATGATGAACAATCCTGAAATGATGAACAAATCATAGGTTTTTATGGTGGACCTACTACGTATTCAGCACTGTATTAACAAAAAAGACACTAGTTAGACAAATATATACAATTTTTAAATATACACAAAATAAACAAAATGCACCTGTTAGAGTATTGCTTATAAGAAGGCAATTACATATTTTTTAATGACCATCCAAGTAACTTCACAGAGAAACCATGGTTTATTAGATCATTTGAAAATGAAAGTTAGATCCAGAATATAGTGACTTACAGCATCATGATGAAAATCTAGCTGATTTTCATCATGGCCTGCAGGTTGATAACATTCAAATATCTTTAAAATATTCACATATTTGCCATCATGTGGCCAAAATATTCAGAGAATCAAACTAATTTTCATGAAAGTCTTGGCACTGAGAAGACAGAAGTTTTCATGCCTGAACTCTCAGGTTTTTCCTCTAAGTAAAATGCTGGCTTTGGGATGGAACAACAGGTTCTGGTTGTTCTTATAGATCTTACATGCAATGGTCAGTGAGGCAAGGACACCTACCAGCATTATTCAACCAACTAAAAACTATGCAAAGAGATTTTTGACACAGAGGACTGTGCCATGTTCACATCAAAGGCAACCTCACCACTTAGCCCAGCCCACTGGTTCTGGCCCAGGCTAGATGGAGG